CAATTTAAAGAAATTTTATAAACAAAAATATTTTTCTTATATGAACATGCTTATCTACATCAAGTTTACTATTTTTCCATAATTTTTTACCTTGTAAAAAAATTAATATGAATTTTCAAAGACTAAAAGGGTAGTGAAGGTCCAAACATGCCAAAAGTTGAGTTTGTTCTAAGGGGACAATAGTATGGTTATTTTGTCCATTTTTGACAATTTTCCCAATTTTAAAAGGTTCACGGTAAAATGAAGACAAAACATAAAGACCAGGGATTTTCTGACAAAAATCTCATCGATCCACTTCCATGTCCGTTCGAAAAAAATATGACCGTTGGAAGTAAATAAATTCCAAAATAATACTTAAAAATAAATAACTCCCTTCCTCTTATTCAACCTCTGTTCTTCCCCAAAAATAAAAACCTCCATCAGTAAAAATCGAGAGAGAGAGAGAGAGAGAGAACGAGAAAGATGGGTTGTGTTTCTTCAAAACCAGTCAAGAAAAAACATGTAAGAGAGATTCGAGTCAACAACGGCGGTGATCACATCGTCTCTCTTACTTCCACTACTTACGGTCATCTCGATGTCCACGAACGAACACAGACTTCTCCAAAGTCACAAGAACTCTCTAAAGGCGATGACTTTGAATCCGAAACCATCAAACCAAGGAGATCTACTGATAATCCAGAGATTATCAACACGTGGGAGCTTATGGAAGATCTCGAAGATTCAACGAAGATTAGCCCCAAATCTCGTGGGATTTTCGGGAAATCATGGAAGACTCCGGTGAAATCGGTTGTGGAATCTCCAAAGAGGATTGGTAGTAGTAAGAGATTCAGGGGAAAAGAAAACAGAGGAGGGAAACAGAGTCCCAACATTCTCGAGACTCCGAAGAGAGGCGTGATGCGTTTGAGTTTCCCTCTCAAATCAGAGGAGCCTTTAGCGGTGGTTACTCAGAGGAGGAAGAGTTTCAGTCCAATGTTCGATCCAGACCTCGTGGCTTCTTACGAGAGAGAGTTGTCTCAAGAGAAAGAACAGATCAAGATGGTGATCTCTCCATCCCCAAACGAGAAAATCTTTGACCCTTTCCCGGAGAAGTGTCCACCGGGAGGAGAAAACTCGGTGGTCGTTTACATAACAACGCTGAGAGGGATAAGGAAGACGTTTGAGGATTGCAATGTGGTTAGATCGATACTAGATTCTCACGAAGTTCGTTACTTGGAGCGAGATGTGTCGATGCACTCTGTTTTTAAGGAGGAGATTAGGGGCATTATGGGGACGAAACAGGTGAGAGTGCCGGTTGTTTTCGTGAAAGGGAGGATGATAGGAAGCGTTGAGGAAGTGATGAGGTTAGAGGAGGAGGGTAAATTGGGTATTTTGCTTGAATCTATGCCTAAGGCGAGGGTAAGCGGTTGCTGCTGCGGATGCGGTGGGATGAGGTTTGTGATGTGTGGTGTTTGTAATGGAAGCTGTAAGGTTATGGATGTTGAGAAGAAGGATACAGTTAAGTGTTTGGAGTGTAATGAGAATGGTTTGGTTCTCTGTCCAATTTGCTCTTGAAATAGATTTCCTTTTTTCAATTTTATTGTGAAATTGAGGGAGGTTGTAAGAGGGTTGACTTAATTTTGGATGCTAACTTTGCAATTGATGGGTATGATTTGTGAGAGTTTCTAAAGTTGGGTTTATGTCTTGGTGTGTACTGGTAACTGCATCTATGTTTTAATGTTTGTAAACGTTTTTAAATAAGACGCATTTTATTTTGTATAGCCATTGTGAATTTCGTTTTGTTTTTGATTCTTTCTTCAATGGTCTAACATGATAAACCACATATTCTTTCTTCATTGGTTTACTTGCAATATAAAGATGCTAAACTTTGGTGTGCACTAGTAACTGAATCTGTTCTTAAACGTTTGTAAACGTTTTTTATGTGATTCAATTCATTCTTCAGTGGTCTAATATTATAAACCACCTAGACTTACTTCATTGTTTTATTTGCAATATGAAAAAGACTAAACTTTGGTGTGTACTAGTAACTGAATCTGTTTGTAAGCGTTTTTATATGATTCAGTTTATTCTTCAATGGTTTAATATGATAACCCACCTATTCTGTCTTTCTTTCTTTCTTTCTTTCTTCATGGGTTTATTTGCAATATAAAATTGCCAAACTTTTGTGTGTACAAGTGATTGAATCTGTTTTTTGTGTTTGTACACTTTCTATACTTGATTCATTTTATTCTTCAGTGGTCTAATACGATAAACATCTACACTTTCTTCATTGGTTTATTTGGAATATGAAATTAATAAGCTTTGTTCTATATTGATGATTACCAAAAATAAATAATATAACGAATAAAAAACAAATAAAGAAATTTTGGGATAATCCTCACCGATATGATGACGAAAATCCTACAAAACCTGGCACACATCCCTAAATGATCCCTGAATCTCAGGCACACATGTCAATGCATATCCCCTATCCATTTCCACCTTTATAATTCATATGTTCCGAAGATCATTTTTATTCACATAACAAAATAACAAAGGCCAAAAAATGGAGCTAGAGACCTCAGTTTATCGACCAAACGTCGCCGTCTATGACTCCCCCGATGGTGTGGAGGTTCGAGGACGTTACGACCAAGTCTTCGCTAAGATTCTGACAAGAGAAGCTCTTGGGTTTGTAGCTCAGCTACAGAGAGAGTTTCGTGGGCATGTGAGATACGCCATGGAGTGCCGTAGAGAGGCAAAACGCCGTTACAACTCTGGTGCTGTCCCTGGGTTTGACCCTTCCACTAAGTTCATCAGAGACAGTGAATGGCTTTGTGCCTCTGTCCCTCCAGCTGTTGCTGACCGGAGAGTTGAGATAACCGGTCCGGTCGAGAGGAAGATGATCATCAATGCTCTTAACTCTGGAGCTAAAGTCTTCATGGTCCGTTTTCTCTCTTATGTTTATGTCTTTGTTTATTAGTTTGGATACGGTTTGATATCTTGTGTTGTGTTTGACAGGCAGATTTCGAGGATGCATTGTCTCCGAGCTGGGAGAATCTGATGAGAGGGCAAGTCAACTTGAAAGATGCTGTCGATGGATCCATTACCTTTCACGACAAGTCAAGGAACAAAGTTTACAAGCTCAACGACCAAGTTGCTAAGCTTTTTGTCAGACCACGAGGCTGGCATCTCCCTGAGGCTCACATCCTTATCGACGGTGAACCAGCCACTGGATGTCTCGTCGACTTCGGTCTTTACTTCTTCCACAACTATGCCAAATTTAGACAGACTCAAGGTTCTGGTTTCGGACCGTTCTTCTATCTCCCCAAAATGGAACACTCTAGGTACATCCCTGAAACAGAACGATTGGTTAGGTCATTACTTTCTTGACAGAGAAGCAACCAAAAATTAATGTTTTCTGTTTAGGATTATTAGTAGGTGAATTAATTCTTGACGGGGAAGTAAACATTAAATTCATGTTTTCTGTTTAGGGTTAATTATTAGGTCAGTTACTTTCTTGTCTGGGAAGTAAATATCAAATTCATGTTTTCTGTTTAGGATTTGATTAGTAGGTCAATTACTTTCTTGACAGGGAAGCAAAGATTTGGAACAGTGTGTTTGAGCGAGCTGAAAAGATGGCTGGTATTGAGAGAGGAAGCATTAGAGCCACGGTGCTGATCGAGACCCTCCCTGCTGTTTTCCAGATGAATGAGATATTATATGAACTTCGTGATCATTCGGTGGGTCTAAACTGTGGAAGATGGGACTATATCTTCAGCTATGTCAAGACCTTCCAGGCTCACCCTGACCGTCTCTTACCAGACCGTGTCCTAGTTGGTATGGGCCAGCATTTCATGAGGAGTTACTCTGATCTTCTCATCCGTACTTGTCACAAGCGTGGTGTCCACGCCATGGGTGGCATGGTTAGTCCCTCTTATCTCACACTAGTTCACTAGGAGTACTATTACATATACATATATGTTGAGTTTGTTTGTTGATATGATGCTCAGGCTGCTCAGATTCCGATAAGAGATGACCCGAAAGCGAATGAAATGGCATTGGAACTAGTGAGGAAAGACAAGCTAAGAGAAGTAAGAGCAGGACATGATGGGACATGGGCTGCTCATCCAGGACTCATCCCAATCTGCATGGATGCATTCAGCCACATGGGGAAAAATCCAAACCAAATCAAATCAATGAAGCGAGAGGACGCATCTGCTATAACAGAGGAAGATCTGCTTCAGATACCGCGAGGGGTGCGTACACTGGAGGGTCTAAGGCTGAACACACGTGTGGGGATCCAATACTTAGCCGCGTGGTTAACAGGATCAGGATCTGTCCCACTCTATAACCTGATGGAAGACGCGGCTACGGCTGAGATAAGCCGTGTTCAGAACTGGCAGTGGATTAGGTATGGAGTGGAGTTGGATGGAGACGGGCTTGGAGTTAGGGTGAATAAGGAGTTGTTTGGGAGAGTTGTGGAAGAAGAGATGGAGAGAATCGAGAAAGAAGTTGGGAAAGATAAGTTTAAGAGAGGAATGTATAAGGAAGCATGCAAGATGTTTACAAAGCAGTGTACTGCAGCTGAGCTTGATGATTTTCTTACACTTGCTGTTTATGATCATATTGTAGCTCATTACCCAATCAATGTGTCAAGGCTCTGAAAGAAGAAAGATGAAGAAAAGAAGATGCAAGGGAGAGAGGGAGGGAGTTTGAGATATGAGTTTGTGCTTTTGTTTATGTGTTCTTTTCTCATTTGCTTTATGTTTTTATATGTTGGTATATTGTAATAAGCAGAACTTGTTGTTTTATTTTCAGTTTGAAATAAAATGTTCTACAACATCGTTATCATGTGTGTTTGCTATATCATTGTTTACTAGGTGATTTTCCTGTGCTCATGCACGGGCATAAATATATTATAATAGTTGATTGATATTTACTTTAACTTTTATATTAATTTATAGTTTTATGAATAATTATATTAATAATATTATATTATTTTAGTTATAATATAACTAAAATAAAATATTTTAGAAATTTTATATAATTTATGCCTTATATTGATTGGATGGCAAGCTGGAATTTATTTTAAATTATTTTTAAAATAAAGAATTATAATTTTCTTAAGTATTTTGATTATGGTTATATTAAATTCCACAAACATAAAAACAGAAAATTAAACATCAAAAGTGTTATTAAGAAAACATATAATTTTAACTATTAAAATATAATATATCTACCTCGTTAAATTATATAGTGTTATGATATTTTAAAAGAATTGTAGTTATCTGATCAAAAGATGTTTACCATTAAATTTATTTTTAGTTTTGTTTTTAATATCTCTTAAAATATGCAGTAAAAACGTGATTGTTTTTGAGAAATTATATTATATAAGTAAAATATAATTTATATTTTTTGCTGTAACAGTAGATATTATAATCAAATAAATATACTAATTATAATTTTTTTGTCAGTTAAACATATATCAGTTTATGTTACTTAATTATTTTATGTAATCATCTAATAAAATAGATAGATATATACAAAAACTAATTACTTTGAAAATATATATTTTATTGTTTAAATTATTTTTTAAAAGAAAAAATGTTTATTTTTCTAATATCAAGATTATTTGTATGAAATTTTTTATGAAAACACATTATATACAAATATTTTTTTTTCATCTAAGAAGATATAGATATAAAGTATAACTAGGTGATTTTCCCGTGCTCATGCACGCGCGGGTATAAATATTTTAAAAGTAAATATATGATAATAATTTATGACTATTTAGTTTTAATTTTAAATTAATTTATAATTTTTATGCATCATTTATATTAATATAATTATATTACTTTAACTATACTATAATTTTTTGTATGTTAGATTTAGTCGATTTTATTATTTTTACGCTTGATTTAGTTAACATTGGATAAATTAGATTGCCTGAATTCAACTGTAATATTTTAAAATATATTAATTTTTAAACAATTATTTATTTGCATATAGTGGGTGTTCTCTTAGATATATAAATATATTTTAGGAAAATTATACATAACTTAAGATATATTGGGCTTAGAATGGATTAAAAATTAACTAAAGTGTCTAATTCCAAAATACGTAAATTAATATAACGATAATATTCGACAGTCTCATGCATATATATAAATTTTACAAGAGAACTAAAATTGTAAGAGTTGGTAAATATTTATTTTCATTTGTTAATATTTTTGAGTTATCCTATGATCAATAGAAGGTTACATGCATAATTAGTTGATACATTTTTAGAAGCTCATGAACACATATCAATATTTACAATAATCAATATATCTATAAATTCTAAGTAACTTTATGCTTTAAATTTATTGAATGTAAACTGAAATTTATTTTAAATAATCTTAAAACTGGGAATTCAGATTTCCTTTGATATTTTGATTATGGTTATATTTAGTTTCACAAACATAAACATAAAATTTAAAAGAAAATTTAATATTAAGAAAGCATATAATTTTAATAATGATAAAATATCATATATCTAGCTCATTAAACCACTTGTTAATTATTTGATCAAACGATGTTTATTGTTAAAGTTATTATTAGGTTTTAATATCTCTTAAAAATAAGCACTACACAAAATTGTGATTGTATTTGAAAGTAATATTATGTAAGTGAAATATAATTTATAGATAATTTTCTGTAATTGAAAGATATTATAGTCAACTAAATATATGAAGAATAAATAAAAAAAAATCCAATAATACTAATTATAAACTATTTTAATTACTCTAAAAGTGTATTTTGATGTTATTTAAAAACTATTTTTAAATGTATTATTGCTATTTTGTGAACTTTCCTTTTTTATGAAATCATATTATATATACATATCTTTTTCGTTTTAAATGTGTTTTTATGACTTTATAATTGATTTCCTTTTTATTACATATATTTTTGGAAATTTTGAAAAGGAAAATAAATAAAAGAATTAATAATAATATTTTTAACTATTTTAATTCACTAAGGGTATCAGTGTAATCAACCATCGTGAGAGTGAACGTAAGAGCGACACATAGGAAACTGACTTCTCAAATAATATTATAGAGATTACTTAAAAAGTATAATTTATGTTATTTAAAAATATATTTAAATTAAATATTACTATTTTGTAAACTTTCCTTTTTTATGAAACCATATTATATATATACTTATTTTTCGTTTTTAAATAGTTTTGTAAATTTTAGAAATATTTCCTTTTTGTTTTATATTGTTATTTGGAAGATTTTAAAAAGGAAATAATAATATTTAAATATATTTTTAATTCATTAGGGGTATCATAGTAATCAACCA